GCGAATTGTGATTTGTGATACACAGCCTTCATTGGGGCACGAACGGGACCTCTAGATTTGACGGGTCGCTGATATTACGCGACGGCGCGTCTGACATCACTCTGCAGGAGGCGTGGGCAGTCTCCAGCGAGACTTCATCAAAAGCGATTGCTCACCGAGCGGGATCTTCTCATGGGGAACGAGGATTCGCAAACCCGAAGGAGAACCTGATGGTGCGTTGAGTCTTCAACGAGATGCCGCTGGGGGTAGAAGTCCGACCGAGATAGGGCTCCGACGGAATCTAGGGGCTACTCATGATCGTACTATGCAGGGTCTACCCAAAGGGCTCTCGGGGCCCGGGTTGGTGCGAGGGCATCCGCCGCCTTCTAGAGCAGATCCGAGACTCGCGCCACGCTCAAAAGTCTCCCTCCAAATGCGCCCACCCTTCTTCCAGGTTCCGAGTCAGGATACTGAGGAGACGAGCGTCGAAACGAGGCTCGACTTTCTCCGGGTAGGCAGCTAATTGCGCGGCGATGGTCTTGTAGAATCTCTCGACGGTGGCGGAGCGTGAAATGTTCGCGGAGGGTGAAAACTGCTCTAGTGGAAGTTATCTGCCGCACTAGGAACCCCGAGCGCTATGGTACATCCATCCGACCGAGCCACCGACCGACTGAGGGACCATCCAGCCCGTCGCGCTCGGAATCAGCGGAGGAGTGAGCAACGAGGAAACGGAATAGAGAGCAGAAGGGAGTCAGGCAAATAGATACCCGCCAACTGGCCACCAGCTAACGGTCCGACTGTGTGAGCGGGAGAAAGGCGAGGCGGGAAATGCGACGAAGGTACATATGGGGACGAGGGCAGGGCATATATGGTAGAGGGGCTCACACGAGGGTTAAATGACTCTATTCGCAGACAGATTTGTATCACTCAAAATCTCGTTGCTCTGTAACGCTGCAGAGGAGCGGTGAAACGGACGAGCAAATACAAGCCTTCCTCGCACGTGCATACGACACATGAGAGGGTGAACGTGCTTGTCACCTCCCAGAATCACTTCACCAACACCGCCCCCGAGTCGGCCAGCGTTCGTATCAATGGTGGGAGAATGGAGTTTGCTTTTTCGCCCAATCTGGGAAAAAACAATAAGTGACCGAGATCGACTAGAAATAAATTTTCTGCTGGAAGAACGAATGAGTTCGGGATGTCAGGGACAGAAAAAATCGATCGGCGGCTAGGGGTCTGCTCGACGGAAAATACTTACCGCACGCAAACAGCGGTAGTGTGGGCAGTAAAGGAGCATACGAGTGTTGGCAAAGTTCCATATGAACTTTTCCTTCTCAAAATATGGTGAAAGTGCGTGAGGTGCACCACCCTAGCCTCACCCTCGGAACATTGCTTCAAGAGGAGCTCACGTGTCTCGCTGGGTGCTGCCTTCATGTAGGCTGGCCGCACGGACGACCGGCCTGCCTGCCTGCCCGCCTGCCTGCCTGCAAATTGATACTTGAGCAAACTCGAAAGACAGACAGGGAATCGCCCGGGAATCACCCACGACAAAGTAGGCTCATGATTCCTTCTGTGAAATTCATCCATTGAATTTCATTCATCACCGCCCCTGCGTGGATGTAGATACCCTGCTGACCGACGATGCGGGATGGAATCACACGGAGCCCGAGAGCTGACACATTGGTACCGGTTCGATGCGGCGCGAAATAAACGCCGGCGGTCTTTTCCTTCTGGTATCGCCTTATGAGAGGGAAAAGTTCTGAAGGAACCGATACCAGATATTCTCTCCTTCTCCGGATGCGAGTCGCTGGCCGCGTGCGCGAGTATGTGGAGGGGCTCTCCGAGTGAAGGGACATTTGTGATAAACAGAAACGTCGCCATAAATTCGGCTGATGACGATTTGATTTGAAAAAAAAAATTTCCTCTCCGAAAAACTTTCCCCTTCAGACATGGTTCTCGCAATTAAGCGTCGCGATATCCGGCGTAGGATAGTATTTTCCTTCAGCTTCTGCCAGCTTATCTCTACGCTCAGTTTTTCCGTGACCACGACTGAGATGGTCTCATGATATTTTGCTCTGTTCGTTCCTGGAATCTTCGTGTCAGCCGCGTTCCATTCTTGGAATGAAGAGCGTCCTTATGGCGTGTCCCTACTGGCGATGCATGACAACCAGAGCTTTAGCTTCCATGATCTGGTTATGATCCTGGAAGGTAAACATCACCAGCTGAGCCACTCGAAAACTGGAGCCTGACCCGGAATGCAGAGATGGGGTTCTCTTTTTACGGTTCGCAGAGAGATCACGAAATGCGGATCAAGTGACGCTCGTATGCATCTCGAGGTCGGTCATAGAAACCAGCATTCCTCGGCGAATGATCAATTGAGCGTTGTGCGTCGGACACGAGCTCCGGGGAGCTCATGGTATTGCACGGTGCCGTCGCTCAGTGCTTGCGGATCTCGGCTCTTAGATTCCGCATTCCGCTTCTTCACAGAGCTCGCATTCCAGAGTAAATTCGGTGCGACTCGATTTTCCGAAATTGAGGAGTTGGGGGCTTAAGGGTCGCAAGCCAATAGAAAGATGCGGGTTTCACCTGCCGAAAGCGACCTCGATTTGTTTCTGGAATTTCAGCCAGGTAGAAGATTTTGGTTTCTCGAGTAAGCCGGATGCCACCCATGTACCGTTTAGTTGTAGCGTGAACTTCCCGAAGCCTTAAATAACACTGTCGGCGCGCGTCGAACGCGATCTTCTCGTCGTTAGGTACCGCAAGACGCCTTTCTTATCACAGTCGGTCGGTAGCGACGGCGGAGATGGCCTAGTATTAAATTTTCAACCACTCAACAGCGGCAGTCCGCGGACAACATATAATTACCACCACCGCCGCCGCCGCCACCACCACCATCACTATCTGAAGAACAAGCATTGAGTGATGTTGCTTCTGTAGGCAGACCCATAGCTACCGATGATCATTTTGTCTGCTTGTTGAATTTGTTCATTCGGTCGGCATCCGCTTTCACTCGTGCTTTTTCTAACATCATGATGCGTGTCGTCATTGCTGGTGCCATCATCACCGTCAGCGGCTCCGTCGCGATCGTGGTGATGGTCGCCGACTCCGATCGTCTGGAGGGTGTATTCCGCTCGAACAGAGTGCTGATCATGAGAGAATACCCGCTTTGAGCATAAAAAATCGCGACCTCTCACAGCCGATAACTGCACGATCTATATATCGAGCAAATAATGCATAACATGAATCGGGATTTGGCATAATCGGACTTAAGAGGGAAGGCGAGATCGGTCCTCAATCCCTAGTTTTGAATCATTGAAGGCCCGCTCTGTCAGAACGTTCCCAGGGATCGGTGCTGGTAGCCGTTTCATCGATGCGTCGGTTGTGAGTTGGTTGCGCTCTACGGGACCACAATCAAGAAGACCTTCTCCAGCTGATGGAGGGTCGAAAAAATGACGTCATAAGACTCATATGGTTAGGGGCCGGCATCATAGGTATCTATTGAAGCTTCATTTTCTCCTGAGGGGATGCGTTTCGACGTCGGTGCGATAAGCTCAGGAGTTGTCTGGGGGCAGGTATCTCTACAGTGCTCGGCGACTTCATCGAGGAACAACTCAATGTGAGCAGGTAATTCGAATTCCTCTATCGGCTGCTCACTCCGGTCGCTCGTGCACACGGTGCGGCGCATCAGTTTTCTCCCGCAACAGGGAAACAGACAAACACAAGCGGAGAAAGAAAGACTTCGTTCATTCGCGGGGCAGCCTCGCCGTCATCCAGGCTGGCAAGCGTCCAGCAACGACGAGGCTCGCAGCCAGCTAGCTAGCTATCCAGCTAACTGTGTACAGCGCGTACGTATTATTCAATTGGTATTTCTCTAAAAATGATTATAAAGCGTCTGGCGCCATCCAATAGAAAATGTGGGCGGAGCTAGAGACTCCGCCTCTGTGGCTTCTTTCGGGCTCCCTCTCCCTCATGGACCTCGTCCGGTGGTGGTGCTTCGTTCGAAGCGACCGACTCGTCAGTGAAGTCTTGCCGACTTGTGGGAGCGTGTAGTTCTGTGTCCTCCGTGTGCTGTTGTTTTTTTTGGATAATAGTTTGTTCGTTCGTTGGTTCGCCGGTTGGTTGGTTGGTTGCTTGCTTCGTTGGTTGGTTGATCCATTAATTGACTGATTGGGTAGATCCGATCGATCGTCTTGCGCAATCTCTGGTTAGTTTTTGCTCCGAGCAGATCACTACCAGCCGATGATCGCTGGCTAGCTGGCTCAGCAGCTGGCGAAAAGCTAATTGCTCAATGGAGTGATTGATCAATCAATCGACAGGGTGTTCGACATCGACACCGATTGTCACCCAAGTGGCAGACTGACCAAGAGACCTATCTACCCACCGATCAACAGAACAACCACCCACCGACCCTTGAATCGCATTGGAGACGCTCATTGATATGAACATCGAACAGCTTCTGCTTTCTGCTTTGGATTATTTCGAAAATGTGTTCTTGTGCCCGCGCAAGGAGTGAAACTAGTGCAAAGGGTCGTAGCAGACCCCACGGATGGAGTGGCTTGCAGCAGCAGTGAACCGTCGTCGCTCAGAACCCGTCGAGCGAGCTGTATATTTGTTTTCGAGAGGTGTTCCGAGACGAACACAAGCAACGACCAAGTCAAATCTTCAGTAGGAGAGACTTTACCGCGTGAATTCCAAGCCCTGAGAAGCGTTCACGCTCGAGCAATATAAGTCGCATCTACTTCGACAACGGCGAGAGTAATACAAAGGAAGAAACAGAGCCGACTTCTCTCGACAAGCTGGAGAACCAGACAGAGCTCGGTAAAAGAGAACGCCCGCCTTCCTCGGACACAGTCGGACGAAATCCGCAACATCATCAGGGCCAAACGGCTCCATCACCATCATCTTCGTCGTATCCCCATCATAGAGACTTCCATCCCCATCATCTACAGAATCATCATCAACATCATCATCACCATCAACATCATCACCCCCATCGTCGAACCCCCGACGACTACGACGGTATGGCGCACACCCCCGGAGATTCAGGTCCGATGCACGAGGAGGGCAAGCAGTCTTTCATGGACATCCCGGGCCTCAACCCTAGCCTAAATCCATATCTGAGGGGGCAAGGTATGGTCGGAGGGTACCAACCGCAGCAGGATTTCTCGCAGCGGATGGGCTACCCGTTCTCCATGGGCAACGGACACCTTCAGTCGCCTTATGGGGCTCCACCTGGTCATGCCGCGCACTATTTCAGTGGTTATCCTCCGGCACACTGTCCCCCGGCTCATTCACCACCGAACTCGCGACAACCTCCTCAGAACGATGGTGAGTTCTCAAATTAGATCAAGAGTTTAGGTAGAAAGTGAGTCTCGTCCGAGACTTTGTCAAAGCAACAACACGGTGAACGCGCGATCTCAGCCGCGAATCCTTCGCTCTTCTCCAAGTCTGAATACACTAGCAGTACCGATAATGCCTGTACCACATTTGGCGATAGTGTCAGATGCTGCCAGCAGCTCCGTCATAACGCTACCCCGGGCATTCCGAAGAAAAGACGCAAAAGGTCTTCCTGCGAGCAGGGAGTTAACCGAGTCACGGGTGAAAATCGAGCTATCTGAGCCGAGAATGTTGAGCGAACGGTACGGGATTCCTCGGCGAAGCCCGCGCTCATCCTTTATGGGAGCAAGCTTTCGCACCTCGCCGTGGAACCCCGAACACACTACTTTTCGTCGCAGAGCGCGAATTCTCACTAAAAGCGAAACTGACACCATGAGAGGATCTGAGATCCATCGACCCCACATTCTGATAATCTTGAGGAACGGGTCGAGATTCGAGATCATTTGGCGAGCGCGCGAGCTCGATCGACCGACCGAACGCCGTGTTCCGCACCGGCTTTCTCTGTTCCGGAATGCTCGGTCTGCACTCGCATCGGCCTCTGGCTCGTCGTCGCTCAATGAGTCGTCGGGCTGACGACGTCAGAGAAGTTGCGCTGGCTCAACCCGCAGCGCCATTCCGATGAGCATAGCCTGGAGATTCCTGCTATATGGAATCCAGGAACTTTCAAGATGCGCATCCTCATGTGCGCGATGTCTTCATGATCTGGCTGATTCACTTTTTGATTTTCGTTCGGAAACTTGGGAGGACTCGACGCGAAACGACTCCTCAGATCCTTGAGCGGTCTTTGGGCCGCATCCATTCTCGTCCCGTGCACCCCCGCACACGGGAAGCTTTGCTCGATGGAATCGAGAGGTAAAGCTCATGAGTCAATTCGATACAATAGGGTGCTCTCCGGCCCTATATCATCGGTCCGTTCTTCTACATTCTGAAGACGCTCCCCGATACGGTCCGAGAGAGACCTTCCGAGATCGCGTAAGGGAAATAGCGTCGCCATTGTCGAATGTTATCGGGCTGCCCTCCCAGCTAAGTCGTTTGTGAGCGATGTCTTTTCGAGGTAATAGTACTATCGCTGTCAGTCTGGTGATCTGTTAAATTGGAGTCAATTGCTTGCTTGGGCAGCTATCCAATTAAGAGCGAATGCCAGTGCGTGCATTCGTTCCCGACCTCTCTACACTCGCTCTGGGAACGATAGCCGAGCCGGCCGGAGCGATCAACAGCACGCTTACGAGACCCTCACTTGGTGTTAAACGACGCATCGTCCCTGGATTATGCAGTGTGACCCGATGCGCCTCGTCGACGATGACCGAAGATCGCGCAGAGTCGCACTTGGGTCAAGTCCCGGAGCCACTGTGGAGATTATCTCGCTGACGAAGATCAGTCGGAGTTCGCTCCCGAACGAGCGTCGTATGACTGCCTTCTCCCGACCCCCGAGCCCCCTCGATTGCGTCGGATCACGCTCCCTGTACACTGCGGAATGAGAGTACCGGGGCTTGAGCCCAAGGTCTCGCCGCATCCAGGCGAGGTTTTCACCCGAGGATGTTCTCCGGGAACACCACGTGCTTCAATCACGTGCGCGATGCTGACATCGGTCCCGTTCGTGTTTGAACACACTCAACGGCAGACAGCTTTCGGGAATCCGATAGAAGCGTACTCGACTCAGGGAACACTCGAACTCTGTTCGGAATGATTTTCGGTACCGAGCTCGATCTTTTCCCTGGTTCCAAATTATTCTCCGCTCAAATAGCGAGCAGCCGAGAAGCAAGCCGAAGACGTACCGACTGACGGGAAGAGAACGGAAGAACTCAGGATAGACGGCGGCTCGGCAGGCAGAGGGAGAGAAAGGGAGTTTGAGACTCGCTCAGGCAACGAGGGAAAGTCTGAGCGAGTCGACGTTCGAGATCCAAGCAGGAGGATGGTCGCTTTCCCTTTCTGTTCGTTCGTGGTGTATAATTTTGAGTCTTTCCTCCCTCGAGCGGCTAGGGAGAAGAGGGTTGTCGTCGTCGTCGTCTTCTTCTTCGTCGACGACGTCCACAACAACGACGACGATGAGAGCACCGAGGATAAAGGAGAAGACACTTCTCCTTCGTGGGGGGCGTTACTTTTTTCAGGAGAACGCGTTCCTCTCTCTCTGCCGGTGCTCTCGGTCAAGCCGCCGCCGCCGCCGCCATTTCTTCATCACCGCAGAAGCCTGTAGTGGCGTACTCTGCTATCGGTCGCTCTCCCAACCTCCTTTCTTCCCTACTCTCGGTTCTACCGGTTCAGTCCCTCCAGAGCCTTGTTTAGCAGAACTTGGCTCAATCTCCCTTGGACGTCATGGTCCCTTCGGCCTTGGAACATTCGATTCGCATATATGTAGACGGCTTGAGCAATGTCTCGTCAATTGGAAATCCACCTGATTCGGGAAGTCGTCTGACCGTTACCATCGTTCTCGATCATAACCCGTGACCTTTAGGTGGATCAGGATGTAAATCGAAGGAGAACCCTGAGTTCCGAAGAAATTCTGATCCGGGCCTACAGACGACACGTCTCTCTAGCGGAGATCTTCCATAATCATGATCCGCACGCATCGTTGCTCATTTCTCAGCCAGAGTTTTCGCTTCCTTCGCGATCCATCGCTTAATGCTATCTCATTCAATTATTCCAAATTTTGCCCAATCGAAATTCAATCCATGGGAATAGTTCCGCTCTCTTGTGCGCGTCCCGATGCGAGACCTTGGATAAAAGTGTAGGCCTGCGTTCGCACTTCTCCCATCGGGAGCGAGCGGCATTGTGTCACTGTCAATCGGGTGATCACGCGCGAATCTCATTAGTAATCTCTAATCGCGTTTCGTGTCATCATCCAACAGAGCAGCAAGAGATGGTGGCGAAGATATTGTGTGCACGAAAAGCTTCAGTTTCAGACGGTCTGACGTCAGAAGCAACCAGGTTCCCTCCGCCGTGCCTCATTTTCACTAACGGTGAATGTTTTTTGGATCGTCACCACCATCGGCAGCGATGCGTTCGTTCTTCAACAGAGTGTAGACGATTCGCTCCCAAGTGGGGATTCGTGTACAGATCCCCGATTTTCGGGACCTCCTATGACTGAAGGAAAAAAGTCCTTCTGAGACTGTCTTTCATTCGAGTCGCGACGATCGCGATTCATCTATTCATCTGAAATAATCAATTGAGAGGGCGTGCGAAATTAATTCAACGCAAAGAGTCCACGAAGGGGAAGACGCGCGTCTCTCGTTATAGACTGCCGCCGTGCAGGGCAGCGACGATACGCGCCATCCTGTGCTGGAAGTATGTGAGCGAATGAATACGAAGCGGTTGCTACAAGCGCTGGGTGTGGGCAAGTGCAAGTGCTGCAGCAGGCAAAGCAGCGATCGTGTACGTCGCGTCGCTGGGAGGTCTGTCCGTGGTGTAATCCCGCCTCGGCTGAAGCAATCGTCCGCCAAACGAGCAAGTTCGCTTGCTGGCAAACTCTCGGCTGGCAGCGGTACAAAGGGAGCGAGCGAGCGAGCAAGCGGCCAACATGTCTTGATGCGAATTCCGCCGTCTTGCGTTATCCCGCTCGCGGCCGTGCGTTTATTCGTGTGTTGGACGCGGTTATTCCGTTTCTCGACCGATCCATGGGCTTCTCTCACCAAGCTGCATTGGTTCAGTCTTCCGAACGACGGTTCTTGCCTTCGACATCATGAAGCTGATTGGGTCGCTAGGAACCGAATATAAAGACTTTTGGGATTGGGATATCTAGTCGTCCCGAGAGAGCCGATGAGGCGCGATTGAGAATTTTCATAGGCGCGAAAACTATCCACATCGATGGTGGAAATGCTTAAATTCAAGATTGCGCCTTTGCTGCCGTGATCTTAGTCGTACCTATGTAGGTCGGCTCGAGCGCGAATTCCAAGGGATAGAGGCTCGATGGCTCGGATGGAGAGTCCGTTTCCCGTGGAAGTCAAATTACAGGTCTCCCCGAGTGGGAAACCCCTATTACCGCTTGATCCCATCGGCGAGATACCATCGGACTTGGCATCGAGCCTAACGAGCCTCGTACTCCGAGCCGAGGGAATCTCTCGCGGTTGGAGGGGGAGCTACTCAGGGGCTCGCGCCTCTTCAGGGAACAAGAACAGCGAGCAACTTATCTCACGCGAAATAAATCAGATCCTCTACAAATGGTTGCTCATACTTCATCAAGCGAGATGCGGTGTCTACTTTCGGCTCGTTCCAGTGGTCTTGTTGTTATTTTTCTTCTCTGTTTTTAATAGAAGCTCCTGTAGTTGCCCACCGCTCCGTTTTTCCCTCGCGCGGGAAAGGAGCCGGGAGCACCTTTGATGCGATGGGGAAGGAAAGTGAAAAGTTGGCAGATGTTGAAGTGGAGGCGGAACCAAACTCCGAGCGGCGGGGAACGCTGGAGAAAAGTAAACCCTAGGAGACAGACCGGCAGGCGGGCGGTCGGTCGGTCGAGCAGGCAGCCAGCCAGGGAGGTAGGTCGGCAGACCGACCGACACACAGCCGCATTGAGAGAAACGCGAAAGAGGCTTCAGTTGGGAACGAACTCCATGCATCCCTCCAAGCTAGTACAGCCGAACGGAACGGCACGAATCAATGGTCGGATAGTCGGCAACAAGCAAGCACAATGGAGTGCACGCACCTGTAGGGAGCGGATCTATACGAGAACGAGTGAAACACGCAAACCTCTTGCTTTTCGCCTTTTTCCGTGGTCGCCCTCCGAGCGTGTTGCTGTCCCACATGGCTCCAGCGTGAGCTCGTATTCAAGTGCCACCCCCCTCCCTCTGAAAGGTGTCAGAACAAATTTCGCCGCAGCAAATAACTCGGACGAAACTCCGTTAAAATACCTCTGAGGAACAAACATCTCCGTCGCGACGATTCCCCAGTGGCCGTTGCGGTAGTCGGGAGGAACGCCTCTGACGACTCTGTATTTTCTCCTCGGACGGAGGTTCTTCACGTCTTGTCTTACGGCCATTTATGTAACTCGTGCGCTGTGGCTTGAACAAGACATAAGTTCACTAAATGAACTGATCCATATCTCGATCATGAGCGTAATTCTACCCGATCGAAATTACTTCTTGGTCTGCTCGCGGCGCTCCGCTCCGGTTTTTGTGAAACGCTCCGATCGCTCGGCTCGAAGACATTGACGCAAGACGAAGATAGGAGGCAACAGGGCGTGAGTGGAAGGGATCGTTCCATTGCTCGACTCTTCTAGAGGTGACGGATCGGGAATGAGTTGGAGGCCGAATCTTCGGCGTACCCATCTTCGCTGGATGTTCGGCATTTCCACGAAAATCTTGGTACCTGGTCCTAGCCGGAATTCGGGACAGAGCACCGAGACTGGAAATGATTCAGGGTAAGGAAGAGTTCTGAAAACATTGCGACGAGCAAGGGTGAAATCTCCGAAAGTTCTGGCTGGAGGGCTCCTGTTGTTTTACGTCGACCGACGTTCCGTCTTTGTCGTAGCGGCGCTATTTTTCTTTATCCAGATCATGACGCACTAAATGCTTTGTTCCGTTCCCAGTCAGATAAAGTACGCGCGTTTCTGGCTGCTCCAGTGCTTTCATTCACTTGCCGGCTCGCTCGCTCGCCTGTTCGTTCGCTCATGAGCACTAGTGCATTAGCAGCTCTTCCATAGTTAAGAGAACTCTCGCAGCAGCCGTCAGCCTGGACAGGGGGTTTCTTCTCCATGCTTGCCGAATTTGTGGTACCGGACCATGTTAAGAAAATCCTCATTTTTTCTGAGATAGCAAACGAAGCGGCGAATGAGCTCGGCAGACGAGCGCTGACTGAGACAAAGAACAAGCTCGGCTATGATGGTCATAGCGGTCACCGTTGTTGCTGATGCTGCTGCCACGGCAGCCGCTGTCTAGTGAAGACTGAACCTGTACTTAGCGATCAGATAACATCAGACACAGAGATTTTCTTGCTGCTCGTCGTCGATGGTGTATCTGCGGCTGCTCGAAGTATTCCCCGTCATCGTCGTCGCGATCCGAATGTAAATTCGAAACTCATCGATGGCTGCCTGCGGTCACTGCCTGTTGGTCTTCTTTTAATTTATGGAGAAAATTCCAACGGGAGATCGCAGCGTCCGATAGCGAGGAACAAACCTCCCATCCTCGAGCCGCTTCCATCTACTGATCGGCGGTCTCAGACCGCGAATCGAAAGGACGTTCCCGAGCTCGATTGATGGACCCGAAGGATGTATTCATCAAATCGAGACTCACTCACTTCAAATCGAGTTTGCGTCTGCCAATAGGAAATGGAACGCCCGATCACTCGCCCCGCAGTGAGATTCATAAGTTCGTCTTCCTGTTCCCTCGAAAACCAGTCTCGGAATACCGGGGAATATTTGCACGCTTTGGTGACGCACATACTTTCCTATCGCTCCCCGCCCCTTTGTGACTCGCTCGTTCCGAAAGTCACTAGGTTCCCTTGCCGGACCTCTCGGTCTGCTTCTATATATTTCATATTTTTCGTTTCTTCCTCGTGGTTTTTGCTCATTCCTTCTTTTCGCAAAAATCAGCATTCAGCTTCCTCCTGACTCCAGAAGCGAGGACTGCGTAGTTTTTGCAGAATTTTCTGGAAGCCGGAACTGACGCGACCGATCTCGACGCTCCGCTGACTAACCGAACTGTGCGCTCGCTCAGGTCTTTCCCAATAGCCGGGCACGAGCCGGCGCAGTCGCGGGCTACTATATATAATACAAGTACCACCACGACAACGGCGACCACTACGTAAGCTAAAAAGGCGTTAAGAATTGATTTGGTTTTTTATGGAGCCTCGCTCACTTGCCTCCGTCTATCAGCCGCCGTCGCCGCTCGCTGTTGCTGGCGATGCCGTAAACATCGCCGCCGCTGCTGTCGCTGAAGTTGTGAGTGGATTTGCTTTGGCGCGGAGGCGTTTTTTACCTTCTACTCTGACTGGTTGGTCGGCTTACTCGCTGGCTCACTGGCTGGCTGGCTGGCTAGGTAGCTTGAGGGTGGACCACACAATACTAGAAGACCCGAGCGGTCGGCCAAGCGAGCGACGGACCGACGCCCCTTTGACGTTCGTCAAACGTCACCACGATTTTCTGTCCGTCCATACGTCCGACTGTCGTCGTCGCCGGCGTCTTTTACTAAAAACAGACCGCGGCCGTCGTCAATGCCAGCAGATATTTTGCTATTCAAGTTCTTCTTTAATCCGCCCACTCGCTTTCAGTTTTGTTTTATCGAAAAGGCGAAAGCTTGGTCTCTGATCGCCATGACCAATCCTCATGGCCTCGAGTGAACGAGGAGGAACTAGGCAGGTCCTTCTTCGGGCCCAGCAGAGATTTTAATGTCTCCGGCGTGATGGACTCTGAGCTCGCAGGAAGCTCCCAAGGAGCGCGTATCCCCTAATCGTAGTATGGATCGAAGCGTTCCGCTATTCGCGATGCGGCAACGCATGAAGAATGACCAAGCGGGGCAAGCATATGCAGGCGACCTACGTTTATTGCTGAAAAAAAATGAATCCATCCGAGCTTTTGAAATGATGTACCTGCCACTTTCCGAGCCTGATCATCTCGAGGAAGCGGAGAATTCGGGGAAGATCGAAACCTAGAGAAAGCGTCGGCTCAACTCGCTTTTCCTTTCAGGCTACCCTCATTCCGCAGATTCGCCGGGCCTAGGATTCCCCATCAAGAGCGAAGCGAAAGACGATCACCTCGGCAGAATGAGCAACCACATCGTCAGTGATTACACAGCTAACGGTGAGTTTCGTCTATGAAAATTAGGAGATCCGCCTAAGTCCTCGAACCTGGATCGCTCGAATCCGAAACGTAGAATCCTATCTAAGTATCGGGGTCTAACCTCGAGCTCTAGGCTGTCGATGGTTTTCGATGCATACAAACCCGAATGGGAATCAATTCTGAACCTAGGGAGAGCTCAAGTATCGTGTAAGGGCTCATCGAGCGAGCGGAGGAGCGAGCGAGCGAATGACTGAGTGAACACAGGATCGCTAGCTGTTTGTTGAAGTTACCCCCATAGCATGACACGGCTCATCATCAGCTTACGTGGTTATGGCGATGATGCACACTTCGCGTGGAAAGGAACCAAATCATGCCTGCCTACTCGTCGGCCCGCCTGCGCTATCGAATGCACGAGTTGTGTCGGGCGACACGTTGAGAAATTCTGCTCAAGAAGCGGAGAGAAAGAAATTCACACAGCATCTGGTTAGCGATCATGACGCCAGACACGGCAAATCGATGTCATATAGGGAGAGCATCCTCGGCGATCCTGACAGGGACTCGGGACGGGACCAAGTTAGCTTCGTACTGCACTTCCGAATTATGAAATTCGCGAACGCGGCATAGTGCCGATTGCACAAGATTCGCCGAATATGACGCAAACCTATCGGATTGCGCACGTTCCCACAAATGAGATGATAAAATTATATTTATACCTTATGTATTCTGCGAACAAATTTAGAAATTGACCAACTAAGCAAATGAGCGAGCTGGCGACCGAACTTCGGACCTAGCGCGCGATTCGACCGAGCGTCCAGTTCCTCGTTTCGGAACGAAGTGCTGTGAGCTTTACGACAAAGCGATCAGCGACCTGTGTCTGACGCCAGCTGTTGTTATGGACTCTTTCATATAATGTATACTGTCATGGAACGATTCAGTGCATCTCTTGCTATTTTCCTGTTCCTCTTATTTATTTTTGTGAATGACCGGGCTACCCACCACCCATGCTCGTGGTGAGGCCGCCAGGTAACATCGAGCTTGCCCGCTCGGACCCCGCTCGGACGGCCGCTCCGTCGATCGGTCGCTCTTCCGCGACCGGTGGGTAAAGGTCTTGGCAGTCGGGCAAATTCTGCAGAAACTTTCATTCTAATGCGGTCATCGTAGCTGGACGCGAGTGGACCCGTTCGTCAGAGGGCTGTCAAAGGTCGAGGATTGTCGTCTTGTCGCGTCCCGTTCCGTTCGTTTATCTAACCGTTCGTTCGTCTAGGCGAGCGAGCGAGCAAGCAAACAGGCGGACAGACAGCCCGGGAGCACGACTTGAAGTTGAAGCCGGGGAGACAATGCAGCCAGCCAGCGAGCTGGCGTCATTTCAACGGACGGACGACGCTTCACTGTAATTACCGGCTGTGAGCTTCCCTCGGTCGCTCTATCGGCTGGTCCGTCCGTCTGTCCGACGGTCGACGAGCGCTGCCTTCTCTGCGTGTCATTCGCTGTGAAGCTCTGTCCAGCCCGTACCCGTTCGGCTCATCTGGAAAAAGCGAAAGTTCGAGCCTGGATTTGCGAGCAGGTTCCAATGCGTTGCCTTTTCCCGGCCTGGCGGGATATTCCGAAAGAGTCACCGAGGACTCTTCTCATCGCTGCGTCAATCTCGGGTAAATGTTCCCTCGGGTACAACGAACAAACAAATTCAAGCTGCCATACACCCGCATTGGGAAACGAAACGCGAGGGCAACGAAAGCACGAAGAGAAAGAAGAAAAGGTGTGGTACTAAAGAGTAAAGTTAAAACACCACCTGGAGATTCCCTCAGCCGGGGACTCGGCACGACGGCAGCGGCGAAGTGCTTGCCTGGCTGCGTGGAGGACGGACGAACAGGATGGCTGGCTGGCAAGCCAGCTAGCTGGCGGTCTCTCCGAGTGGCTCTCTTCCGTTCGTTAGTTCGACTCTTTTCCGACGGAGGAGCGACTCGAAGGCTACAATTACGCGCTCGCTGCTCGGTACCCGTTGCCCCCCTTCCCCACTCTCCGCTCTCACAAGAATTCACCACTAAGCGTTCTTTCGTTCGCTCGCATGCCTGCCCACCCGTCCGCCCGCCACCCGCCCAGCAGCGTACTCGCTTGCTTCGATGCTTCTCCAGCTTGAGAGAACTAGATGGCTGACAAACTAGCTTCCGAGCCCGAGCTGTCGTTAGAGGTCCTCATCTCGGTCGGATAAACGTTCAGGATGGAGATAGTGGAGAGAAGGGGAAATTCTGGAAAAAATTCCAGATCATAGGTGTCCAAAAGAAATGATCTCTGGGGCTCTATAGCCTCGGCTGTAGATCTTGATTACGTAATGACGGTGTCGGATGAGTCGGTTGTCTCCTCAGCTACCGACTCGACCAGAATTCCTCCCTCACCGGCAATCCCGGTACGCTCGGCCTCGACGGGGTTGTACGGAGCCTTCGTCGAGAATCTCGTACTGGCTGCGACCCTGGTCGTTCGATCACGCACGAAAGCGTGGCTGTCGGGCTGTTGCTTGATTATTTGGATGGATTGATGGAGGAATGGATGGATTGCTAGATGGCTACTTGTCCAACAGAGCGATTCTTATTGCGTGCGTGAGCACCACTGGCTACAGCGATGGCGGTATCCATGTAAGAAGCCGTAGACAAGCGACCGCAAGATTCATTGAAAGCCAGTAAAGCAGGTAAAATTCAATTTGCTGTTGGTTCAGCAGTTACAGACTCGCAAACACTTACCGACACACTCGAATGAATGAACGGACAGACAGACGGACAGACGAACAACAGACAAACAGTCGAGTCATTCAGTTGGCCGCTCGGTCGCCATTTCGCTCGGTTGGTAGCAAACAGTGGGTCGGTCCTTGGGTGGGAGTACATAATGAGCAGAGGGAAAGGAGCTCTTCTTCTCTGACGTTGCTCGCTAGCTTACTCGTACTTCCGCTCGCTCGCTCACACTCGTTCCTCGATTTATACGATAGTCTCGTTTTCGTGAACCTGAGTGGGGATTGATCTTTTTCTTCTGATGGCATTCCAGATAAGTCGATGGACGACCCGCTGCGGGGTTCGGCCGGCGGAGCCCAAACTCCCCAGGGAAATACGACGGGCCCGAAAGGCAAGAAAATGCGAAAGCCTAGAACAATCTACTCCAGCCTACAACTACAGCAACTTAATCGGAGATTCCAAAGGACTCAGTACTTAGCTCTCCCCGAGAGAGCTGAGCTTGCCGCGTCTTTAGGACTCACCCAGACTCAGGTACGTGATTCAATGTATTCGATAGTAGGTAGGAACAAGACGATTCCTGGCTCCCCTGGGATCGGCGGGGATCGCGCAAAAAAAAAACCGAGCGGTCGGTCGAGAGTGGTTCGTGAATTTCGGACGGCGCGGCCAATTCCGAAAGCAGCGATACGAATTCGAGGATTGTTGCGCTGAAATCAACAATGGAGTTGGGAATGAATTCGTGGATCACGCGGTACCGGCAGTGTCTCCGTCGGCGAGTCAATCAGTCGTTTGCTCGTTCCGTCGGTCTGATAGTCGACTTGGCGCTCGATCGGTCGGTCGGTCACAGATCGGAGGCGTCTTTCACGCCTGGCCGAGCACGCGTAGCACATTGACTATTAACGGGATTGGACAGTTGGAGACATCGAAAGTCATGTCATCAACCGCGACAACACAGCCTAATTACTCATCATGCATTATGTACAAGGTCGTCCGCCGAAATCCGTCGGAACCATAAACGGAACAACAGTCACACGATGGAGGCGAAGAGCAACCATCTGATCGGAGCGAAGCAGCGAAGGGTTCATGGCGCAATTTCCCCTGTGTTCCGACAATCTGCTGGGTAACCGAGCTCCCCTTCTTCAATGTCTTTCCACGGCTATACTCTGGAGCTCGGGAAGGCAGCTCGACGGGGACAACGGACAACCAGCTCAAATCAGCATATTCCCGAATGTTTCAAGCCAGTTCTCAGGTCTTTCCTCAGAAACAAGTGGCATTCCCTCCGGGTGAAGTCTTTCTGCTGGCGGTTTGACAGTCTGCCAAGAAAAAGAAAGGGCGAAAATATGAACTTGATATCCGATCGGTGGGTCCTTCTGTCCGTATGCTTCGGCTTGGTACTCGGCCGAGCAGGTGGAAGTATGGGAAAAATTATTTTTTTCTTTCCCTCCCGGTCTCTTCCCTCTACACGTTGTCCAAGCCGCCGTGTACATGATATGTGCATACATATGTATGTATCGATCGTGTGTCGGTCTCCGATATTTTCGGAAAAATTTCGACTGCTTCGGTCGAGGAGCCCGAACGTCGTCTCGACACCTGAAGGCGAGGGACATCGGATTTCTCAATCTCCGATGGTTCAGCATCGAAGCGCGCTCCAGAATCGCCACCGAGAGAAAGGTCATTCTCTGGTTGCTTGTACATACCGCTGACTATCAGATTTGGCTCACTTCTTGATTGACCATCAGCATCGCGACGTCGACTACTTCACAGCGCGGTACCGGTTGACGGTCGATTGGATTTTCTGGCTGCTGTGATTTTTTTTCGATCCCACGAGGACTTTCTCCGATTTTCGTCGGAGGGACTAGTCGAGGCTGTAGCGGTAGACTGTTCGGATCGCGTTACCGCCCGGAACATTCCGGGACGGTTCGGTGGATCCGAGCCGGCCAATGTCAACACATTCTAGCCGCCTCGTGTGCAGTAGCGAGATGATTCCATTGAGGGGCCGATCTAGACCCCGCGACCCGTAGGACGGTGGACGATCGACGATCGGGGGCTTAAACTACTCCAGCGCAAACTCCCGAGCGAGCGAACCGGAGTCATATGCAGTCTACTATAATTGTGAGCGTGACATTCTCCGCGAAGTGAAGAACTTTGATCCGACGCGACGTCTAAGATATGTAGATTTGACGAGGGGAGAAATCGGCTTGGAAGAGGTCAAGGCCCATCTCGTTCGGGGTCTGCGCGTGTGTGGGTCTACGGATGTTTCCAGTCAAACCGACGTGCTATTGCATTCGATGTCGTCACCGTCATCCAGCCAAGTTTCAAAATTCGTGTCCAGTATTTGTATTCCCTCGCGGAATCCGGTCGCGCAAACCGTTCGCAGAGTATATTCTGAAAATTGGAGACGTCTCAACTTTCCGGGAACACTCCCGTCGAATACGTCGACGATGATCTTCGCTGTCAATGTCGGAGAAGAATGTGGATGACGACCGAACTCCGTGGATCATGACGGCCGTACATGTGTCTGCCTCTTCGCCGAGGACCGTAGGAAGAGCAGGCAGGTGGGGCGGCGAGCGAGGGAACGCGCGCGCGCACGCGGGACGACCTTTAGGCCTGGAGCGAAATGATCGAATATCAGCGATTCGGAGGAACTCAATCAAATCCGTTGGCATTCTGTTTTCTGCCCGCTCGTTCACTTGTTCGAGTGTCTTCCGCTCGTGTAGCCCTCCGTACGCTGTTCGGCCCATTCGTTCCATCTATATCCGTCGCCGGAGCAGCGTAAGGCGATCTTGCCACTCTTCTGTTACGGCGACGCTTTTCTGGGCTTTCGCTGCTTCATTGGGGATTCCTCATTGGATAGGAACGCAAGTGGAGTAAGCAGAAGAACAAAGAAATTAGTTTGACGCCAGGCGATGTCCGCGTCGATTATATTGTTGTTGTTGCTGCTCTTGTTGTCGTCGCCGCCGCCGTTAAGAGATTAGGATCATTGATTATATCAGCAGCTTGAACAAGGTATCGATCGATTGACTTATTCACTGACTGTAGGGACCTCTAGTCAGGAGTTTCCGCGCCGTCGTCTTGCGGACGCTGCTGGCGGAGCCATACGTGCTCGATATACATATAGAGATGAGCGTCTTCTTTCCATCCGAAATCGTTCTGAAGCGGAGGAAGATTTTGAATTCCGTCCCCTGTTGTCAAGAAGGGAAAGCATCTGCAGAGAATCGAATGGACCGGAAGCGGTCGGTCCCCACTCATCGCGCGGATTTCCGAGTGAGATTTCCTTTTGCCTCTCAGGTAGCTCCTGCCTGCCCGCAGCAACGGTTCGAGGGTGGGAAGAATCCGAATACTGCCGCGAGCTATTCGCTGGAGTGAGACGGACGAATGGGGTTCTATCCGAGTTTCGTCTCCCTCGGAGACTCGAGGATTTTAGCTAGGGAGAGAAACACCTGAAGAACATTTCCCACAGAATGGTCGGTTTTGCCCCCGAATCAAGAAGTGAAGCAAATCATTTCTTGTTCGATCTCTTGACTGACAAATTATCGATGTTAATGAGCCATATGCTCAGTCCGTCTTCTTTTTCTTCGAACCGCTCCTGAGACGGCGAAAGGAGAAACGAGAAGCAGCCTGTCTGCCTGACTGTCTGCCTGCCTAGCTAGCTCACGGCTCGGATTGAGCACTCGGCAGTGTCGGATGTCTTCGGATGATGATTCATATTTCTTCTGTTATTCCACCGACTTGTTGCTCTCGCTCGTCCTGTCTGACAGAGAGAGATTCTCCGCTCCTGTTTCCTTCGGAATTCCCATCCTGATATCCTGACTGGTTTGGCTAGCTGGTCGGTCGGTCGGCCGCCCGCTCGCTGGTCGGCTGCTCGACTTGCGTGCTGTCTATCAGCCTCGCTGGCAGCTGCGCTCGCTGGATGAGTGACTGGAGTTTCCTCGCGATCTCGTAGCTACCTGAGAGTGACAAACGAGCTGGTTGGTTCTCATTCTCCCTCAGTGGCGAGTCGGACCACTCGTCCCCGGTCGAGCCTCAACCTGATCTCGATTCTTCTTCCGTGTCCGGACGATCCCGAGCTCAAGAATCGAGAAATCGTTCACGCCTGCGGAATCAGCGTCCGATAAAAGATAGTGGGTCTGAGGACCCAGAGAGAAATCAGAGACTTTCCCCCTTTGCGCTAGCGGACGCGCTCGTGAGTCCGTCGAGCCGTCCATCGTCTGGTGAGCTGTCGCCCTGTCACCTTTCACGGCATCTTCCCATCGTTCAATGCAATAAATAAATTAACGAAGCGGCAGCAGCGCGTGATTACACACACACGCACGGACATCGCCCTGGCTGACTTTTTCCTCTTCTTCGTCCCGCCGGACACTTCTCAAATCGAAATCTTTCGCACTACTCTCATACATGCAGTGCGAGCCTATCCGTCATTGACGTCATTTCGACTGGGAAGCTGCCGTCGTTGTCACCGACGGATACGCCGACACCGCCACCTCCATGAGCCGTGGTTGCTTTATTATGATCAACGTTATCATCACTACCCATGACTGATACTGCTTGACTGGCTGACTGACTGAGTGACTGAGTGAGTGACAGGCTGAACTCGCGGTCCCACCTAGTGAATGAATGCATAGAAATGTAGATGGATGAATTGATGACGAATCCGCATGGACGCGGTCGACGCCAACAACGGCAACAATGGCGCGGGAGCGACGGAGGTAGCGTCAATTCTGCGGCGGCAGTAGAAAAGAGACATGATGGACGACGTGTCATAGAGTCCGTCTGTTTCGCACCGCCGAGATTCAATTTAAGGTAGGTAGTCCTTCGCATCGACCGAGCGACAGACCAGTCGCGCGAGCGAGCGAGCGACCAACCGACCGACGGCTCACCGAGCGGGCTAAAACTGAAACGATAGCAAGAAACAACAGTCGACAGAACAGAAACGACTTCTCAAGTAGCTTGCTCACCGTGGAGATCGCTCCGATCGGTGTGAAGTCGAGACAACCTCGTCGGATGCTATGGAGGCGTCAACTCCGGTAGTTGCTAGCCAAGCAGCACCCCATCGAGTTCTTTTGTTTTTCATCCACAACAAGCTCACGAGGAGAGAGAGAGAGAGAGAGCGAGCGATGAGACTCGTTAGCTCAATGGAGACAGGAATGAATGAATACGCGCGTGCGTGAGCGATAGATAGAGAGCGAGCGAGCAAGTGTGGAGTAGAAATATCAGCGGGGTTTCTACGGCCGTGACGGCGCGCTCGCTTGCTGCTAAAATCGCGATAAGGGAGCCTGACTGGTCAGGCGACGATATCACCTGCTGGGAGTGAGACGTCCAGGCGACGAATTCAATCCCGGTGAGGATGTGACCGCGCGCTACTACACTTGCTTTTGCCAAGCAGCAGTTCTTCTGTCGATCCCATGCCGGCTAAATGGGTACTAATCCTCTCTAACCGGTCCCCGACGTGTCGATCTCCGACCGGGTAAGACAGAAAAATTCCTTCGCACATCCACTCATTTATTCACTGTCGGTCAGGCGTTTGTTGGATACTG